ATTTTTCTCACTCAGTGAGTGAAGTTCTACTTTTTCCATTGAGTCAAGAATAAGCCCAAAGTTGCATAAAAATAAAAATTTGATGTCTCTCTGTAGCAGCAAGTTCTGAATCAAAGGTTTCATAAGTTAAAGAAGAAGAAGCAGCAGCAGCTAGAAATAGTTGTATTAACAGGCTTCAGTCCAGGTCTTTAACTCATTCACATCTAAAACAGATCCTGCTAGATGTCAACCATGGGAGCCGTACAATTGCCAATTCAAGGCTATGCAAAGGCTAAATATAAATATTTATTCAAGTTCACATTTGTTTTTGTTTTTCTACTTTTGTTGAGGAAAATGTGACAACTTTTTGGTCAAAGGTCTCCAGTGACTCGGGGATTAATCTGATTTATCGTGGACGTAACCAGAATCCCTCATTAAGTTGGTAATTACCTGATAACTGTTCTATCCAAGTCTTGTATTTTGCTGATGTTGCCTTACAAAGGTCAGTTTGAATTAAGCTACTTTATTGTTGACTGTTCTTCTTTAAGACTTCTTAAGCCGCATTTCCCTCAGATCGGTGATACTTTAAATCTAATTGCTATTAAACAATTAATCATTTAAATTCACCTTTCACCTGCTTCTCTGAGAATCTGCTTTTCTTTGAAATGATCCATAATTACCTGTTGATGCAGGTTGTTTTAATCTGGTGATAAATATTCATTATTTAATCATTTAAATGCTCTGATTTTCTGCATGAAAAACAATGCCAAGAAGTCACATTTAGTATGTCTGATTACCCCAAATGTTTATGTATCTCCATTAAAAAAGAGTAACATCCGTATTGTACATTAGGTCTAACAGGAGAGTAGAAATCCTGCTCTGAACAGGCTGAAGCTTTTGTTCTCCACCTCCAGAAGTTGAAGGCAGACTTGCCGTCCTGTGGGTTATCACCCAGCGGCAACGGCGCTCATTGAAAACAGATATATGACCATTCAGAGACCGATGTGTGGGAGGAAGTGGAACGGGACAGCAGAGGAATAATGCGAGGGTGTGGAGTGGTGGGGGCATAAAACTTAATGTTTTTCTTCCTGTGGGTGGAAGACAGGCCACACTGGTGTTCTTTTTTTCTTTTTTATGTGCGTGTGTTGTGCATTAGAAACAGTGTATCGCCCCCTGTTTCTTTGGATCTGAGATGGTAGAGAGAAAGCAAGAAAATGAGCAATTTCAGCAAAGGTTAATTCATAATATTACAAGAATAAATTTTTAAAAATATGAGAATAAAGTTGTAATAATGAGAACAAAACCGTATTTCGATGATAAAGTCTAAAGAATACGAGAAAAAGGTTCCAATAAAATGAGAAGAATGTCATAATATGACAAGAATATAGAGATAATATTACCATATTATAATGCCATAACAATGTGAGAATAGTCATAAATTTATTAGAATATGTCAATGTGAGAACAGTCATAAAATTACAAGAATAAAGTCATAATATTATGAATACATATTTCTATATGTAGCATAGATTACTCCATTTATTTTCACACTGCTTCATCTGGGACTTGCACCACAAGCAAACGATTGTGAAATGGTATGACAATAAAAGAATCCTTTATTATGATTTTATTCTCGTAACTTTATTGTATTACTCTTGTAATTTCATTTTCTTTTTCTTACCACGACCCCAATACTCCGTCATACTTCACATACTGTAGTTGCAATGAAAAAATATTTAAAGGCGTCTGGGCCTCTGCACTCCCTTGAGCTGACTTTCCGTCAACTTTCTCAGAACGTCGCAAACGCTAAACAAGCCCCATTTCTGTGTGTAGGTGAGACGCAGCGTTTCAGGTTGTACATGCTGATATTCTCCACTGACTCCGTTAATGACAAATTATCCTCTCTCCACCTAATGTCACCGCTTGCTTCAACAGTCTGGTCTCCAGATGCTCATTACTCGCCATACAAGCAAGGTTCTTTACAGGCCCCGGGCTCTTGTGAGAGTGCTGCGAGACCTCTGCTGAACCGAGCAAATCTCTGTAAAATCGTGAAGAAGCCAGGAACAATCTGAACAATAGCCTGATAACACACACTTGCACAGCCTGGAGTGTCCCCCATCTCCTCTGCTTCATAAAAACTTTATGCAGCCAATCTCTTAAAAACTGAGACAAGAAGAGCCCATTTCACCAGGAGGAAGTTCAATTTCTCCACGCAGGGCGTCATGAGCGACAAGAAAAACCTGGCAAAGGAAAGTGAAATCCTATTAAATCTTTCAGCAAAAGCCTTCCATAAATAATGTGAGGGAAGTGTCCCGAGTCGCATTCCTGGCTTTTTTGCTGAAACGATACGCCGTCCACTTCTGTAGAAAAGCTATTGTTAGTCGGCCACCTCTGTCACTTCTGCACCGGATTTGAGGGAGGAGGAAATCTATTTTCAGTCATTTTAGCAAAAACTTTGCATGTTTTCCAGCCTGGTAAATGTACACTAGGTTTTGCACACACTGAGATGCACCAAAGCATCAGCCAGTGATCTGCATCGGTCAATTTTCATCTGCAACGCTGATCTTTTTCCAATCCGTGAACAAAAACAACCCTCTTCGGTGAGGAAGTTGATGCCATGGGAAGCTTGGTATTAAAGAATGTAATAAGGACAGGGTTCATACACATTTCAAAATGTCCGTAGTTTCCAGATTGAGGTGTTTAGATTTTATTCTGATGTTTTTACAGCATCATTGACATTTTATTAAAAATATTAACCTTTATGTATTATTGACTTTTGGTATAATATGGAGCCATTTAACTACTTCTTTGGCATTTTGACCCACATAGATCAGATACATTTCCAAACTATATTGTCTCGCACTAAATGCAGATTATTTAAAACCTTGTCTCTGAACTTTGCACTTAGAAATAATTTGCGTAGGATAAAAAAAGTTAAGCTTTTTAATTTCAGCTAGACCTACTTACAGACTCAATTTAAGGTTTTCTACAGTCCAAAAAAGTAGAGAAATGACATTTTCTTTGATTTGTAAAATAGTGTGTCGGTCATTTTGTCAGTGAGTCAAAAACTAAAAAACTTATGAAAAAGAATCAATTATTCAACATGTATGTTTCAAATCAGAAATAAAACATGTCAGTGGAATAAAGATCAATGGAACAAACGACTGCATATATTGAGAATTATTAGATTTTTGTGTGTAGAAAATGGAAGGAAACAAAGAGAATGAAACATTTACTTTTTTCTCCAAATCATGAAATCAAACTCTGTATTTATCCAGGCTGCTAACAGTGACTAGGAGTTTTGTAAACTGACAGAAAGATGGGTGCTAGCAATTCTGCTCCTTCACTGTTTATTACTTTTCAAAGCTTTCGACCTCAATTGTTTAAGCGTTAAAAGGAGCCAACACTTTGTGCCCACCTCGGGGAGGCATTATTAAACTGCTTTATCAGTGGACTGACCCAGAGCAGAAATCAGCAGATAACAGCGGGGTTGAAAACACATCAGAAAAGTTGCCATTATTAGGCCTTCATATACTCTGCTTAAAACCGAGAAGTTTGCTCTCGCATGTAAAAAGAAATTTGCATTTTTATATGTGGAGCACATTTTTCCCCCCTCTAAAATCTCACACTTAAAAAGAAACTCCATTATAGGGAAAGGTCAGACATTTTTTTGAAGTGGGTCTCTGTGAAGAGGCTTAGGAAGAGTTCCACCTAATCGGCAGTAGATAACGCTCTTTGTGACCGCACTTTAAAGAAACGGGAAGGAGGGGCCGGTCTGAGCCAGTCAGAGACAAAGGATGATTTATTTTAAAATAATCTCAATTATGTTGTAGCGCCTCCAACACATAAAAGAGCATCACTGCCACATTAGTATTAGATGGATATTTACGGTGAAGACGGAGGTAGTTTGTGGCCCTTGACGATCACCTTCTCATGGAAAGCACATAGTGCAGAACTGAATTTGTTCGGAGCTTCTACCTATAAAGTCTGCATGAAATCTGAAGTAACTAATAAATATGTTCTCTCTCCCGGAGCTGCAGGAAGAGGATGATGTCATTCTTTTCCTGCAGGTGTAGTTCGGGGTTTTCACAGCTTGTTCTCCATATCGTCGCAGAAGTCTCGTCTCCTGTGGTGTTACACAACTACTAAGCCTTATGTTTACAGGCTACACAATGCTAATGGTGTAAGTTGCTATCATGAGATGTTATGAACAGCTGAAATGCGAACCATACTCGCTAGCTGCGTTTTCATTAGAAATGTGCGAACAAATTGTGTAAAAGACACAATTTCACTTTTGAGGTGCTTTCATTAAGTAAGAAACGCGATTAAAATAATGTCTGAATATGTTTGTTCATGCAACAAGTCATTAAAACCATGGCGCTCAATCATCCTCCAACTACTTCCTGTTGTCTTCTTCTTGGTTTATGACAGTAGGAACATCTGGTTGTTGATCATGTGACTCAGGTGTAAAAAAAAAAAAAAAAGAAAAAAAAAAAGAAAGTGTTTTGCCAAATAAACAAATTTTATTCCAACCAAAAAGTAAAACTAATTCAAACACCAAAACTTTTGACAGAAAAACAGGACTTTCCAAAATTGCTGTGTTTCTATTAAGTAAATTTATTTTCAAAAAAGTCAAATTGTGTAATTGTGTGGATAATGGAAACGCAGCCACTGTATCTTAAAAAAATAAAGCAAAATCCTTCTCTGTCTTGCTTCTCATTTGAATATAAATAATTATCATTAACGGCAGAAAAACTGGATAAAATTTTAAATGCTGTTAATGGCAGTTCTTCAGGGGAAAGTGGAAAAATTGGCCATGAATCTTTGATCAGTGCTCCTCTAACAAACACACAAAACAGCTTGCAGCACACAAAAAAAAACTAGCTTTATCCCCTTTCAGCCTCCTTAACTGAGAAATCAATGAACCTCCAAGTGAAAACAAACAGATTTATAAAGTTAATCCCTAAACAGATAGAAAAAATTAACAGAGTTTACAAAGCAGGAGCTAAAAGACGACTGACCTCTCTCGCAGGTGCTGTCCCAGAAGCCCGTTCCGGTGCAGTCGCAGATAAACCGGTTCCATCCCTCCTTACACACTCCGCTGTTCTTGCAGGGGCTGCTGTCACACTGCTTCCCCGTCATCTTGCTGCACGACGACTTGATGCCCGTCACGTTCTGCGACTGCGAGATCTGCCGGATGTCCTTGCTGCGTCCGTCGATGAACAGGTCCCGGATGCAGCCCACGTAGCCGTAGTCGAGCATAGCGGTCCAGAGCTCGGTAGGGAGCACTAAGCCCGCCCGACTGTCAGGCAAACCTCCCAGGTAAAGGTCCCCTTCCAAGTCCAAGATCTCGTTTTCCCCGCTGGCTGTGAAAGGGGTCCGGCGGCTGTTCACCGAGATGATGCCTGGGTGGAAGAGAAGCGATTATTGTTCGTTTTTACTTAATTCTTCTTAAATCGGATGTTGTTTGCTGTAGTGTTCTTGCTGCCCTAAACCTTTACTTTTCAGGCTGCGATAAATTAATCAGTTTTAGGGTAGAAGTGTTAAATGTTTTACCCAAAAAATTAAGACAGAGCAGAGCTGTGCCTCTAGTAAAATTGTAAAAAAGTGTGATGATAGAGTACAAGGCTTTACTCTGACTGTCCTGAACCGTCACATTTGCACATCTGGAACCCTGACTTGCTTTGATCGCTGACACTCTACTTCAGGGAACCCCTAAAGAGTCCCAAAACCACAGAAGAAGAGAACACAATAAGAATAAATAATTATGCACTGTTTCTTTGCGTCAGGTGACCAGTTCCTCCATTTGTTTCGCTGGTTTGTTGGAAATCTCTATTCAATCAAAATATTAAATTTGCCTTGCAAAAAGATCGCTAGAGGAAGTCCACTAGAATTATTTTCCCTCTTTTTTGTTTGAATCTATTTTAAAAAATTCCTCCTTTAAAAAACGCTTACTTGAAATTTCTAGTCTGCATAGTCATTAAGCCCAATGAGACGGTGTGGATTGTCATACAATTTCCAACAATTCCCACATTTTTCTCGTCAGTCTACAGAATATTATTTTCCCAAAAGTCTTAGGGAACATCAAGATCTTTTATTTTATCTTTTTTTTTTTTTTGCTGAATGGGAAGCAGGCCTTTGGGTTTATTTTTGAAGAGTTGTTCATCTTGAAACTCTCTCATGGATGCCATTTTTGCCAAGTCTCTCATCTATTGTTGAATTGTGAACACTGGCCTTAAATAAGAGTGAAGCCTGGCTTGATGCTTTTCAGGGCCCCTTTGTGAATCTTATTTTTATTCACTGGAGTCCAAAATCCCGGGAAATTGCTTTATAGCCCTTCCCAGCCTGAAAAATGTCAATAACTAATACTTCTCTACAATCCTTGTATCCCTTAGATTGGACCATGAGGTATTACTTTTGGAGATCTTGTAGGCTTGTTTTCCAAACCTTTACAAAAACCTTTTCCATCGTGTATCTGAAAAAAAAATCTGCATTTACACATCAATGGAATGAAAACGCAAATAGGACTGGAAATGATGCAGTGACCATAGAAAGCCTGTAGGAGGTGATGAAAGTTTGAACAGTTTCTGATCCACAGGAATGTTTTCATAATCCCTTGATTGTATAGAGGAGCATGTGCAATCTGTATATCTTCAACGCTGACAAATATTTCAAAATCAGCGGATTTTGCTTAAATACACCAAATAATCCAGTCCACTGTCATTTTGACTGCGTTGTGTGAAAACTGGATCTGAACATGAATGATGGCATGACTGGGATTCATCGTTTCCTTATGTTTTAAATTTACCTTTGTAGTTTTGTCCATCCAAAACATTGTTACCATGTGAACAAGAGGCCAAAACATTTGAGTAAATGGAGCATTAGCCTACTAAATGTCACAGTTTATATTCAAGTGATTTCTTGAAGTGTTTGGGTGTGGCTAGTGGAATGAAACAAAAAATGTGTGTATTCTCAGTTAAATCATGATTTAAAAAGGGAGGCATTTCATTTACTTACATAGGGTGAGGGGAGTTCGGATACCTTTTTCCCTTAAATGAAATCTGGAAAGAGCCTTTTTTGTCGACTTGCGTCATCTTTGTTCGGTGTTGACATTTGTTTCACAAGCTCAGATATGCCAGTGTGACAAGTAAGGAAAGCGGAGGAATATTCTAAGAAGACAGATGTCTGGGCCTGTATTACTTTCATGAGTTTTGCCTTGTAGTTGTTATATCTTAATTGCCACCTTAAATATTTGACTTTTTGCTTTTTTTAAATAGAAGCGGATGTATTATTCAGCAGGCGGACTCTGCTCGTATCACATAACCTATGCTGTATAGGATATCTTCTTCAGCCTCCATTGAGGTCAAAAGCATGTGGTATAGGAGATAAAGAAAAAGATATTTTTTCCCCCTCACAGCCTACCATTAGCTTGCACGAGAGCAGTGAAATATGAGTTACCAAATATTATATTCATCTTGCAGCGCGGCAGAAACCCAAGCTCTTTGTGGACATGAAATTTAATTCACCCAGACTCCTTATTAACATTTCACTCATGCCACAAGTGTGATTATGCCTGTTCTTAACCATCTTTCAGTCTGGTATCCATTTATCTGTCTCATTCCTCTTTTCCCAGCGAAGAAATCCAACTTTCTGCTCCGCTATCGCACTTGGGGGCTGTGCCGGTGATTAATCAAAGCAGCGAGCTCTGACACACGGCTAAATTGGCTGCTCCAACCTGATATATAACACGGCAACTAACACAACCATGTTCTCTGGAGGATCTCTCCTAATGCAGAGATTGTATTGAGTCTGGAGCTTAAGGCAAGAGAAGTTTCAACCTCTGTTCACTAATGCAATCTTCCTCAAACATTTTCTGTGTATTTAGCTATGTTTTGAGGTCAGGGAACCAATAGATGGAAGGAAGCCAGAAAAAATAGAAGGGACTTGGTTGCCATTTAGAGAATAAGAGAACTTTACCCTGGCGATAAATCATTTTGAGCCATCTATCTCTGTTAAAGCTTTATAACATTCTAAGGTTGGGAATCCCAGGAAACTAAAACAAGCTAGTGCTAATGACTTTACCGAATGCTGTGTTAGGGAAAACGTTTCCAATAATTTCATAGCAACTGAATGTGCAACAGTGGTTCAAAGTTTTGACAAGATAATAAATGTTGTGTCAGCAAGCTTCAGTTTTTGTTAGGGAAAGGTTAGGGTTGGGTTGTTAGATGTTTACACTATATAATCAGATAAAAACAATAAATTCATGTTTTTATATGGATCATTACTGACTGATAAAAACATCCGACAGCTGGCTTAAAGCTGGGCTATGTATCTTTTTTTTTTTTAAATCTGTTTTCCCCATATTTGTTAAATCACTATGTGTAGTATGAGACAGAATATGTGAAAAAGACTGAGCTAATCTACCTTATCCTAAAGATAGCTGCCTAAATACATAGCTCGGTCAGAAACAACCAATCACAGCCAGGAGGAGGGACTTAGTGCTGTCAATCATGCACTTTGCTATGCTACAGCTTCTTCCCGTCAGCAAAACCCGCCATGAATGCTCAGGATAGGTAGCATAGCTAGCGATGATGGTGGATGAACGGTTTTCCTGTAATGGTAAGTTGTTTCTCCACCATTTGTACACTGAGCAGCATGTACCTGAGGTTGATTGACAACCTAAGACTCTACTCTTGGCACTGATGGGTTGACCAGATGTGGTTCATTTCTTCAGACACCAATAGTACAGACACCACTTCTCAAAGTACTCCCTCCCCTACTTTATTGTTTTCAGCATCCTTACCAGAGCGGCCGTCCCTCTGGATGTCCACGTGGTGCCAGGCCCCATCGCTGACTTTAGCCTGAGTGGCCTTGACCTTGATGGTCCCGGAGCCCATGTCCAGAAGAAGGTACAGCCCACCATCCAGCAGCTCCACTGCAAAGAAGTCCACCTTGTTGTTCTTCTGGCCCTTGGCGTCGCGCCGGTTTTGCGGTTTGCCGTGGGTGAAGAGTATCAACCCGTTGGGTTCCGAAGTGCGGAAGTCAAAGGATATGGAGCCGACGCGCTTGGTGTTCCACTTGGGCAAGGCCAGGAAGGAGTCGGGGGTCTCGAAGTTGATGGGGTCAAGCGTGGGAACATTTTCACACTTGAAAACCACGTCTCCTTGGAGCTTCATCTTAGGGTCAACGATGCGGGCCAGGCGAGACAGCTCCAGTCGGATATCGTTGTTCTTGTACACCACCTGAGGCGGGAAGAGAAAAAGAAAAAAAGAAAAGAGAAACTTAAAAACAACTCAAACACATAAACGGCAAGCTGAAAAGCTGGTGCAAGGAGTGTTTTCCTTTAATAATCTTTTAGTGCAGTCATGAGCGAAAATTTAATCTCTCTCTATAAATGAATTGAACTCCATTGCCAACTGTGATATTATGGAATCATGCTCTGGTATTATTACACGTTGCAGATGCGAGGACAGCTGGATCGATAAAACTAATATCTTCGAGGATTTGTTTGTCTCAGTGATCTTCTATTTCAGCTTCAATTTATTCAAGATGGAAAAAAAAAGATTGTAAACAAATGCAGGAGTGCATTTCTGTTCGATTGAACATCTACTCACAGAATGAAGGGATGCCTAAATTATTGGTGAGTCATTCTTTGGGAGGCCAGGGGAAAAAAACCAAAAAAAACAACCACCACCAAAAAACAAAAGAGTTTGCGAATTGAAAGTGAAGGCCCAGGGGAAATTCACGACTCCCGGAGAATATTGCTGTTTACTCACAATAAATTCACACCAACCCTATAATCATTCAGAGAAGAAATCAGCATCACATGCAAGTCAAATACAACAAAACACCAAAGAAGAAATGGAGAAAAATAGCATCAAATTGGAATCCACTGATGCAGAAAATTAATATTCCCCTCCCCCCCCTTTTTTTTTCTCGGAAAGGAGTCGGGCCTTTTCTGGTATGTAGGACAGAGTTTGTACAGGAAACGACAACACTGTTAGGAAGAGCACAGCTGTCTGCAAACAGATTTTACTGCTGTGGGATTACTGATAATCCTAGAAGATTTGTCATTAGATCGACACAGGTGACCCCTATTTCTGGAGTGGATTCATGAGGCAGGGGCCAAAAAGAGAGAGAGGAGGAGAAATGAGGAAGAGATTAATGAAGATGCATCGATCTGATATTAATATCTGTATTGGTGCCGATATTGGAAAAAAAAAGGGGGTATCAGTGACAGTGTGCCCCAATCCATAAGGATGGATGTATTAATTCTAATTCTTTATATTCTGAGAGATATCATGCTTTATTATTATTTAACATTATATTTAGGATTCCTAATTTCACTTTCTGAACCATTTCAAAGAAGATTTGTTGCAGTTTATTTTTACATGTTTGACCAAGCTTGAGAAGCTACGGGCGTACTGGTGCATAATTATCTCAGATTTGTGATTCAATATATTTATGTCTGTGTTAAAAACAAAACAAACCACCAAAAAAAAAAAAACATTTAAACTCTTTTCAGCTTGTTTTTATTTGTCTGTATCGGATCGGAATCAGTCAATACTAAACCTCGGGTGTCGGTATCGGAAGTGGAAAAAAGGGGATCAGCGCATCTCTAAATGTTAATACAAGCATTTTAAAACAATCTTAATTCTTCTGGCAATGATGGCACATTTGAGCTTTAAAAGGGATGGCAGAGTACCAGTGAAAAGTATTTTCTTTTTCTTTTCTTTTTTTTTTTGCCAATTGTGCTGTGTGGATCTTCAGTGTTGTGTGTTTTGTAACGACATCTTTTATTGCAATGAAGAAGTCAAAACCCGACTTCTCTGTAGTCAACAACAAGGTTGACCTGAAAAGAATCAACAAGTTTTGATCTTAATTTTATCTAGATATTTGATGATGCTGTTCCCATGAAATGGTAGAGCTCATTTCTGCCACAGCCTGGGCTTTTAAGCAACATCCAAAAATGTTTCTACGGAGTTCAGGTTGGAAGTTAAGTGGATCTGTGTCATTGTCCTGCTACAGAACTCCGTTGGCTCCAAGCTTTAACCCAGCTAGCCCAAAATGTGCCCCTCAGATGGATTGAAATGGGTCAGGATGTTCTAATACAAACCAGGAATCACATAAATCCATGCCTACCATAAGCCGGAAACAGCTGAAACAGCAGTATCTTTGCAGTGAATCTACTTTTATACCAGCATTAACTGAAAGAGAACCAACCAAGAGAGAAGCACGTCAACACCCTGAAGCACCACTGAAATCTGAAGCTGACCTCATGCCCAATCCGGATTTCTTCATAGGAAAGGTTGTATTGTAGGTTAAAGGTTGAGACAGCTGGGCGTAATGACATGGAGTATGTATATACCATCAGTCAAAGTGAGGTTTACAAGGATAACCATTACAAATATGGTGAGTACGGATGCTCTGATCAAGTATGTTGATCCCAATCACCTATTCTGATTCCAATCACCCATGAGGGCCAATCACCGATCATCTGCATTGGCCATTAATTTTTCACGTTGGGTATAAATGCTGCTATGTGATCTGGCAAAATGGAAAAATTATCTGGTAATAAATTAACCTAATTTAGATATAAATATGCAAATACTTGCAGGCACAATACAGCAGCTACTCAGTCAAAAGGACAACTGAAAAACCTGCAATCAGTAAAATAACATTTAACAGTAAGGCTCTTAACAGCCTACATTATATACGAGTCAAATAAATCTCACAACACTGCATATATCAAATAAAGTCATGTAAAAAAGGAAACATTCATTCAAAATCAAATGCAGATTGCATGAAAATAAACAATAATGAGTTACTAAATCAAAACCTCCTGAGAGCACGGCTAGCTGATTAACGCTGGTTCTGATTGGCAGTTTCTGACTGAGCTGAGTAATTCTGCAGAAACAGGGAGGAGGCAGAGGAGATCGATTATTTTTCAGAGATGATGTAAGGACAGTGAAAGTTTTAATGCATATATAAAATCTTTTGCTTGTTTAAGTTACATGCTGCAACTTTAAGCAGACGTTCAGAGTGAGAGTTCACTGTCTGGTGGAGCACAAACGGCGCTAAGTATGTGAAATATTACTACCAGTTAGGCCTGTCACGATA